TATATATGAAACAAAAAATCTACATGAAGGAGTTGTCCGAGTTCTTCATAGGAGCGCGGGAGCTAAGGTAAAATCTCAAGAGCGAGCTCGTTTCGACGCAATGGGTACGGCCCTCCGCAGCAAAAAGCCCACGCCGCACAAGAAGGGCTGCGTAAAGGCCCTGTGCCGCGATGCGATGTGACCGCGCACTCGCGCCGCTCAGGCTTGCTACGATGTACCATGTACTCTCTGTCCCTTTTTGTCTCCACGAGGCTGACACCATCGCCCATCTTCCATGGCAGCGCACAGCAGCACAAGAGGAAAAGTTGGAATGTGCTCCCCAGAGGTCATTAGCTAGACCTTGTCCCTAAGCCATGATGACGACTTGTTCCAGCTTTGCAGTCGCGGCGTTTTCCACACCCTGTAGATCGGTTGGATGGACCAGCCAAGGACGGAGGCATCGAGATCACTTGGTTTGGTGATGCCACCTCTTCGAGCACTGAGGTCCAAGGGCATGTATTTGTCGACGGGTCAGAGTTTAAAAACGCTGCTTCGGAGCTTGATCGAGCGGAATGGGGGATAGCGGTTTTTGAGCGACTCGGGCGAGCACCTCGTATTTATTTCGGGGCCCATGTGGGCCGAGTTCCCGCAGACACCCCAGGTTGGCGAGATCGGTTGCTTGTTTGTGGGAAATGGCATAGTGGCTGGCCCCTTGCCAGGGATAAGTGACTGTCTTAATACTGCAAAAGCTTTCGCGTTCCCTTCTGTTAAGACGTCCGGGCGCGTTCCTGCGCATGCGCCGCAGCCAGATGTCTGCAGCACAGAGAGAGAAGGCACACCTTGTTGATGAAGGAAATCCAACGGAATTGCAGCAGTTCTGTGGAGAAAGAAAATGCACCGACGCCGCAGACGATGCGGCCAAGGGAGGAGCTGTTTCTCACCCTCCTTTTCTGATTACGATATGCCGCAAGTCTCACCTCACGCTGCCGTTGCCGAACACGTTGTCAAGTTCGCGTGCCAGCCTATGCCAATCTGTCCTGGGCTGGATGTCTCGGATGTTTCACGAATTCGGTCCCAGCCCTCAGGTACCGTGAGCGTGGAGTCGTCGCCCCACGAATGGACCCAGCTCGCATGCTTCCGGCGCTGCCAAGCATGTTCACGACTCAAACGGCAGGCGGACAGACCGCCGCCCAGTGGCTGCACGGGTCAGCTACCTGCGGTAGTCACCTCTTGACCTCCTCCTCCTCCTCCTCCTCCTCCTCCTCCTCCTCCTCCTCCTCCTCCTCCTCCTCCTCCTCCTCCTCGTAGGAGAGAGGTCACCGAATCCTCGCTCTCAGTTGCTCCAACGCCACCATGCTGTATATGTGCTCTGCTGTCTCGGGTACCCCAACGGTGGCCAGTTCAAGAAGCTCAGGAAACAATGTATCCTTGAGCAGCCTCGCAAGTTGTCTGAATACGCCGCGGCCGTCGTGAGGAATTGTCCAGAGGCCTCCATCCCAAGGACGTTGCTCTCACTTGCGGTTCTGTTGACTAAGCAGTTGGGTCAGAAGCTCAGCTCGAGAGTATTGCGGAGGCCCTGAGGCGTGAGGACGCCTTGGCGGGCCAAGCGGCACCCAGTCAAGCAGGCAGCGAGTCGGGTTACGATTGACGCTGCCTCTACTTCCCCGCTGGCTTGGCGGGCACCTGGCCTGGTCAAAAGAACATCCACATCCTGTATCTCCTCCTCATCCTCCTCTTTTTCCTCTTCCTCATCCTCCTCCTCCTCTTCCTCCTCCTCTTCCTCCTCCTCCTCCCTCTCCTGCTCCTCCTGTTCCTCCCCCTTCTCCTCCTCCTCCTCCTCCTCCTCCTCCTCCTCCTCCTCCTCCTCCTCCTCCTCCTCCTCCTCCGCCTCCGCCTCCTCCTCCTCTTCCTTCTCCTCCTCATCATCCTCCTCCTGAGCGTGCCGCAGGCACGAGGACGAGGACCAGCTTGGGCGGGATCACTTCCAGTCCCCCGACTTGCAGCGTATCGAGAAAGTCGAGGCAGCAGTTCTTCGTAGTTTTCGTCGCTTGGGGGCCGTCGCCAGGCCCCGGGGCCGTCAAAAAACGGCGCGGGTTGCAAAGCTGGTCCTGGGGGAAGGCTTGAAACACCGGATACTTCGGATCTCTGGGTCAGCCTCGTGCTGGTTTCGACCCGGCACTGTTGGGTCCGCTTCGAAAAACGAAGCGGGATGGACCCAGGGAGGGATAGGGAGACTGATTTTGCCGCCGGGATAGCGGGAGAGCCGTTGGCGATGGGCCGTTAATGTCAGGGGCAACGATAGGGGAGGAAGAGGCTCAGGGGGGAAGCATCGACCCCCAATCGGCCATTCATCGCCGATTTGGGGCCCGGTAGGGTAGATCCACCCCCGCCCAGGAGCGCGCGGGCGGGCTCGCTATCGGAGGCCGATCGGCGATGCATCGCCGAGCCCAGGTCGGTTTCTCCCCCCCTGAAACTGGCCCCCCCTCATCGCCCCCTGGTCCAGAGATTGCTTCACCTCGACCAGTGGCGAAGCGTCCTGGCTTGCTTATAGGTCCACCAAAGAATGTTCTACGAGCCTTTGGCGATTTGCGAGGAGTGCTACTAGCCGGCCGCTCTGCGGTTGATCGGGAGTTTCTGTATATAGAAGAAGGAGCGGGCGGCGGTGGTGCGGCGGGTGCAGAACAGGAGGGTGAGGATCAGGAGTGTGAGGTTCACGAGCTGGAGGTCCCTGGAGGTCATCCGTCCTCCTCCTCCTCCTCCTCCTCCTCCTCCTCCTCCTCCTCCTCCTCCTCCTCCTCCTCCTCCTCCTCCACATCTTCCTCCTCGTCCTCCTTCTCCTCCTCATCCTCCTCCTCGACCTCCTCCTCGTCCTCCTCCTCCTCCTCCTCCTCTTTCCTCATCCTCCTCATCCTCCTCCTCCTCCTCCTCCTCCTCTTCCTCGTTCTTCCCCCTCTCCTCCCGCCTCCCTCCTCCCTCCTCCGTCCTCATGCGTCTTCCTCCCTGCTCATCCTTTTCCTCCCCGCGTTCGCCCTCGTGCTAGTCCTCGTTTCCGCCCGCGTCCTCACCCGGTGCGGCGCACCGGATGCGGACACGCCCGGAGCGCCCGGCGCATCGCCAGAAATGGTCCTTGGGGGGGGGCTGGCGGCCTGTGGGGCGATTTGGCGAGGATGTCTCGAGCAAGGGCGCCGGTGGGGGACACGCCCGGCGCGCCCAGCGTGCCTGGCGCATCGCCAGAAATGCTTCCTGGGGGTGCGTTGGGGGCCCGCGGGGTGATTTGGCGAGGATGTCTCGAGCGAGGGCGCCAGATCGGGACACGCCCGTCGCGCCCGGCGCGTCACCGGAAGTGGTCCCTGGGGGCGCGCTGGGAGGCAACCTTCTCGCGCGCCAGGGGTCAGGATGACGCGAGTTCCACAGAAACTCCGTCAAATTAGAGCACGTCTGGCTGAGACTCTCTTGGTTTATCACATCGGTTTCATGTTCTCAGAACTCTCTTTGTTGTCGTTGGAACATTCCTTGGTTCTTAGAATATTTCGTAGTGAGCCCATAGGAATGTGGGGACGGCCGGTCCCTGCTCAATCACCTCCCCAGCTCCCCAGCTTGTCGGCCAGGCACGGCGGCAAGCCTTCCCCCGTCTCTCGGCCTCTGGAGGCCGTCTCGGGCCCTTGGGAGCTCCGAACCGCGGTCCAGGGCGGAAGAGCGGCTGTTGCGGGGAGGGGCCGCATCGGAGGCCGAGGCAGTCCCAGACATGCGATATCCTGATTTTTTCAGGACGGCGTGCCTGGAAGTCCCGACCCTCTCCCCGGGACCGGCTTTTCGTCCTGAGTCGTTTTTTGACGGTCCCGAGGCCCGGCGAGGCCCCCCCGTGGCGAAGAATCGCCAAAGACGTCCCGTCCTGATTTCTGTGACAACGCGATCATGTTTGGGGCACAGTGCAGGCCTCGTGACGGGGTCCATGCCAAAGGGGGGTCAGCCAGAGCGGCGGATCTGGCGGTGTCCAGAGACAGGAGTGCATTGGCCCAGGTCAGCGCGCAGGATCCTGCGGGATCCTGCAAAGCCCGACGGACCCAAGTTTGGGTTGACTCGGATTCCCAAGCAAAACGAGGACGGGCCCGCTGGCTGGAGGCTGCTGGAAGTAGAAGCGACCCCCCATTGAAAAATAGGCATGACACATCTATTGTAAAACTAAACATGGGCTTATAAGTGTGTATATGGATAAAATTGCATGCAAATGTATATACATATATATATATACAGATGTATATATATATATATATATATATATATATGTTTCGACCTATATATATATATAGACACATACATACACGTACATACATACATACATACATACATACATACAGACAGACAGACAGACAGACAGACAGACAGACAGACAGACATACATACACACACGTACATACATACATACATACATGCATACATACATACATACATACAGACAGACAGACAGACAGATAGACAGACAGACAGACAGACAGACAGACAGACACACATACATACATATATGCATATATACACACATACATACATACAGACAGACACACAGGCAGGCATGCAGACAGACAGACAGTCACACACATGTATACATACATACGTACATATATGCATATGTACATATATACATACATGCATACAAGTTCACATATATGTACATATAAATACATTATATATACAAACATACATACATACATACATACATACTTACTTACTTACTTACATACATACATACATACATACATACACACATACACACACATACATACATACATACATACATACATACATACATACATACATACATACATACATACATACATATAAGTGTTGGGTTAATGGTATTCGCAGTGGCCCAGAAGAGTACGGGACCTGAGGGAAAGTGTCGCCGTTCTGGCCCTCTGGCGGCCTTTTCTGAGCCTCGGGGCTGTCAGTGAGCGGCTCGGGATGAAGAAATAGTTTCGGGGAAAACTCCAGGGCCCAGGACAGTTTTCCTCATAAGCCGACAGGAGCACAAGGTTCGTGCCCTCGAGCTGGGTATGCAGCAGGAGTTCCTGACGCCTCCTCACATCCGGGCGCCAGCGCGACAGAGAGTCGAAGCGGCTGGCGGGTTGGTCCCTCGGGCCTCTGGAGACGCGGACGCCCCGGCCATGCCGGGCTCTCAGAGGCAATGCAAAGGGGGGATAGGCTCAGAGAGGACACATCGACCCCCAATCGACTCTTCATCACGACGGGGGGCCCGGTAGATCCACCCCCTCCCATCGGGGGCGGAAAAGAGGGGGGTGATGACTAGGGGGGGGTGGATATCATGGCGTGGGCCATGATATTTCCCCAGATTTCATGGCGCCTCTTCTTATTTCATTACGTCCCTGGCCCCGCCGCTGGGCCGCGCACATGCCGCCGGTCATGATTTGCACCCCCCCCCTCTTGGACACCCCCCTCTTGGCCGCTCCCGATCCCAGGAGCGTGCGGGCTCGCTATTGGGGGGCCTATCGGCGATGTATCGTCGACTCCAGGTCGGCGTCTCCCCACTTGAGCCGGTCCCCCTTACGGTCGGGATGTTTTGGGATACCGTGTTGCTCCGCCGGCTCTCACGCTTTGGCGCGACACGTTATCCGTTTCCCAGTCCCCAGGCTCCAACGACCCCTTGTCTGAGCCTCCCGCACCGCGGAACGGAGCGGCACGCTATCCGTTTGCATGGTATAGCGTGTCGCTGGAGCCGCCGCCGCGAAACGTTGAGCAAAAGCTCCTGACAGTAATGCTGCCTGCCCCTCAGTTTCGCAGCGCAGGCTCGCCGACGAACTCGAGGAGTCGCGGAGGCGCGGCGAGGCGCTGGAGCGCCAGCTCCGCGTAGCAGCCTCGGAGGCTTTCGCCGCGCAGGCGGCGCTCGAGTGCTGCGCGGCGCACGCGGCAGGGCAGCCGCCGGATCGGGCGGGCGAGGAAGGCAATCTATACATTCATACATAGGTACATACATACGTACATACATACATACATGCATACATACATACATACAATTGTATGTATGCATATACGTAGATATGCGTTTGAACGTCTACACGTGCATGTAGGATTAGGTACACGTATCCGCAATTACCTACAAGTGCGTGTGCATATATACGGACATATTTATATGTACATATACAGTTGTATGTACATGATTGTGCATATACATGTATGTATGGATGTATACATACATAGAAAACGCATGGATATACATACATATATACATACACACACTGATGCATGCACGTATACGTTAGATGAACATGTTCAGAATACTTGTATATGAATATACATATATATGTGTGTATGTGCACATGCATACAACCATACATATATACATAAGTACATGCATACATACGTGCGTGGATGCATACGTACATGCATGCCTACACACATACATTCATACATGATTACATGTACATGTATGTATGCGTGTGCATGTATGCATATGGTTGTCTATGTGTATAGATGCATGCATACAAACATACGTACATGCATTCATGCATGCATGCATACGTTTGTATGTACACATGTGTAAGTGTAAATGGTTGCGTACACACAGGCGTATACGTTTAACCTGTCTACCTACATACAACGCTGTATGCATGCACGTATACAGACATACATACCTACATACGTATATGCATGCATGCATGCATACATACATACACATCTACATATACATAAACATAGACATGTGCACACACCTATGCCGCTATGCATCCGTACAAACGCACGTACATGCATGCGGAAGGGCGCAATATAGAAAAGGATAAACCAACCAATCCTGAGCCCAGGACTGGCCTGGCCAGGATCGGTGCAGGTGTACAGCCGACGCCCTCCGCAAGGAGCCGGCGGAGCAGGCGGGCGCCCGCGGGAGTGCCGAGTCGGACGCCGCGGCGCTGGCGCGGGCGCTGGTGCTGTCAGAGGACGCCCTGCGGCTTTCGCTCGGGGGGCGTGGGGAGCCCCCGCCGCGCCAGGACGGGGAGCTCAGCCCGGCCTCGCCCTGGAGGGTCCCGGGCGCGGCAGGCGGGACGGACGAGCTTCTGGAGGCGGAGCGGCCGCGACGCGGCCGCCGCCGCCGCCGCCATCCGTCGTGGCCGCCGCCACCGCCGCCGCCCGGCGCCGTGGATGCCACCGCCGTGGCCGCAGCCGCCGCCGTCACCGACAGTCGTCGCTGCAGCCGCCGCCGCCGCCGTGGCCGCAGCCGCCGCCGCCGCCGATCGCCGTCGGCGCAGACGCCGCCGCCGTGGAGCGCCTCGGAGGCGGAGCGGCCGCCGCGGGCCCGAGGCTGCGACGCTCTCGCGGGCGCGCGGCGACGCGGCGAGGAGCTGACGCGGGAGCTGGCCGCGCTCCAGGAGGCCTTGCGCGGGGGCGCACGGTGCCAATCTCAAGCGTGACCTCCTGGGAGCGGTGTGCACTGCCAGCATCCGTGCTGAACATGGTTGAACATGCACTTGTCATTCTTCCCTACGTGCCTGACCATGGGCACTTGCACCCCCAAGCGCGGCCTCAGGCATGGCCAGCAAACCTCAGAGGATCAGCACGCCGCCCCTCGCCTCTGTGGCCGCGCCCGAGCTTCGTGACCACGCCTGAGATCAGCAGCGCTGCCGCGCTCCAGGAGGCCACCCGCGGGGGCTGGCGCGGCGCCGCCGCCGCGGCGGAGGCCGCCGCCGAGGCCCGGGAGGCGGAGCAGCTGGCCGGCGCGCTCGAGGGGGCGGCCCGCCAGGCTCGCCTGCTGGCCGCCTCCTTGGACGGGAGGCCCGCACGGTGAGCGGAGGCCAGCACTCGCCGCAGCGGGCGGCTTGCGGCGGGCCGCTCGGCGTCGGGCGCGGCGGGGGGGAGCCCTCTGCCGAGCTCGCGCTCGACATGGGCGCGGCTCCTCCTCCTCCTCCTCCTCCTCCTCCTCCTCCTCCTCCTCCTCCTCCCCTCCTCCTCCTCCTCCTTTTCCTCCTCCTCCTCCTCCTCCTCCTCCTCCTCCTCCTCCTTTCCTCCTCCTTCCTCCTCCTCCTCCTCCTCCTCCTCCCTCCCTCCTCCTCCTCCTCCTCCTCCTCCCTCCCTCCCTCCTCCCTCCTCCTCCCTCCCTCCCTCCCTCCTCTCCCTCCCTCGCTCGCCTCCCTCCCCTCCCTCTATTCCTCCTCCTCCGCCTCCGCCTCCTCCTCCTCCTCCTCCTCCTAATCCTCTCCTTATTCCTTATTAGAATATACGTAAGAGCGCGCCCGTACGGAACTCAAGACTAAAAGGGGAGACCCAGCTTCAAGCTACCCCCCCCCCCCTTCCTTCGAAAAGGGGGGGTCTTCCGAAGCTACTCCCCCCTCCCTTCTGTAAGGGTTTCTAAGCTAGGGGGGCCCTGGCTAAAGTGGTGGGGGCTTCGAAGCTATCCCCCCCCCTCCCTTTTCTGGAGCAGAAGGTGAGCCCGGGCTTCCCTTTCAAGGGGGGGGGCTTCGGAAGCTACCCTCCCCTCCTTCCTGTTTTGGTTTGGACACAGGGGGGGCGGCTTCAAGCTACCCCCCTCCCCTCTTGTGCAAAGGGGGGGGCTTCCGAAGCTACCTCCTCCCCTCTCCCTTCTGGGGCTCTGGCAACATGACGGAATCCCTGACGACAGGTGCGCACCGCAGCACTACAGAACGAATTGGAGAATAACGTCGACCCCTGGTTCGTTTTCTTGTTCTCTTGTTTTCTCGGCCCCTGGTTCGTAGTCTCGTTTTCTCGGGCCCTGATTCCTTTTTCATCGTTGTCTCATTTTCTCTGCCCCTGGTTCGTTTTTTTTTCTCGTGTTTTCGGCTCCTGGGTCGCGGTCTCGTTTTCTCTGATCCTGGTTCGAGTTCTCGTTTTCTCGTTGCCTCGGCCCCTGGGTCGTGGTCCCGGTTTCTCGGGCCCCTGTTCGTTGTCTCGTTTTCTTGGCCCCTGAATGTTTGTCTTGTTTTCTCGGCCCTTGGTTCGCTGTTTTGTTTTCTCGTTTTCTCGTTTTCTCGGCCCCTGGGTCGTGGTCTCGTTTTCTCTGACCCTGCTTCGTTTTATCGTTTCTTCGTTTTCTCGGCTCCTGGGTCGTGGTCTCTTTTTCTCGAACCAAGCGTTTTCTGGTGATCTCGGCCCCTGGGTCGTGGGTCGTTTTCGCGTTTTCTCATTTCATCGGCTCCTGGGTCGTGGTCTAGTTTTCTTGGACCCTGGTTTGTTTTCTCGTTTAGTTTGTTTTCTAGGCCCCTGGGTCGTGGCCTCGTTTTCTCTGTTCTGGTTCGTTGTTTTCGTTTTCTTGTTTTCTCGGCCCCTGCTTCGTGGTCTCGTTTTCTCGAGCCTTGATTCCTCTTATCGTTTTCTCGTTTTCTCGCCCCTGGGTCGTGGTCGTGTTTTCTCGGTCCCTGGTTCGTTTTCGCGTTTTCTGTGCCCTTGAGTCGTGGCCTTGTTTGCTCGGACTTTGGTTTGTTTTCTCTTTTCCTCGACCTGTGGGTCGTGGTCTCGTTTTCTCTGACCCTGGTTCGTTGTCTTGTTTTCTTGTGTTGTTCTCCCGTTGTCTCGGCTTTTGTTGTTTGTGTTGTTTTTTTCGGGCCCTGGTTCGTGATCTCGTTTTCTTGTTTTCTCGGCCCCTGGGTCGTGGTGCCAAATTGCCCTCGGGCCCTTGTTAGTTTTTTCGTTTTCTCGTGTTCTTGTGAATAGAACCGTATAATACCCTCATATATACTCATTATCCTCACCTCTCCTGCGCCTGGCCGATTGGGCTCAGGTATTGGACTAGATCGATCAGACCTTTGATCGTGCAGGAGGAAAAGATATCCATATGTCCCTCCTTTCCTCTACCAACGGATCAGGGGTTCTGTACCTTTGTACTCTAACCCCATACACAGGTTATCAGCCCTTTAAAGCTCACAGTTCATCGAACCTCGCGTCGCGATCTCGCACGCGGCCTCGATGGAACCCAAGCGGCGCATTCGCCGTAAGGGGTCCATCGGGGCCTCGCGTCCGAGCTCTCCGACGGCGCGACGGTTCGGCGATGAGTTGGAGAGCCTTCATGTGGACCGCGCAGATGTCCCAGGTACCCCCCCCCCCCAGCTCCGACGGACCCGAGGCGCGGCTAGCTGCTGAACTTCACCGCCACGCCGCCCGCGGGGGGACAGGAGAAGGAATAGGGGCAGGCAGTAGAGAATTCCACACGCCTACCTTCGATCCTCCATCTCCTCCTCCGTCGGGAGCAATCCCAACTGCGTCGGGCGCAAGCCCCACTGGTCCTGATACTCCAGGGCGCTTTCGCGCTAACCGCCGATGGGCCACAGGTGCTGGCATGACTAGCCCTGCGACCGTTCCTGTAGCGGAGCACGTAGCCACCTTCGAGGAACTCAGTAGACCAGTGGCGGCACAGCCGCAGACGCAGTATCCCCTGGTATCATCTCATGAGACACCACACATACACGGCCCTAGCCGCAGCTCGTCCTTGCGTAACCGTCGCGGGGCCACAGGCCTATACGACGAGAGAAGGTCGAGCCCGCGCGCTGCCTCGCAGAGGCCATGCACTCCTCGCGAGAGGGCGCAGAGGGAAGCTAACGTTCCCCATCTCAGACGACCAGCCGGCGGTAACGTCCGCTGCAGGCGAAATAGCTGAGCTCAGAGACCAGGTTGAAACCTTCGTGTCCAGGCAGTACTCTGGACTGACGCAGAGCGTTCAGACGAACGCTGCCAACACCGCTGCTCTACGCCAAGATCTCGACGGCGCCTTAGTGATTATCGATTCTAGGATCGCTGAAGATCGCCGCATCTTAGGTGAGCTGCAGCACCAGGTTGACCGTGAGATGTCACACTCAGGTGAACGATCGGCGACGGTCGAGAACCTGCGCAACTACCTTGCGCAGATGGAGCAACAGCTTGTGATCGTACGCGGCACAGGCGTTTCAGCAGTCAGGATCCTCCACGACGAGATCCACGACCAGCTCCGCAACCGACCACCACCAGCCGAGGCCACCGACCTTGGCGACGTTCAGTCTCAGATCAACGATCTTCGCTCCCACACGGACCACACTACGGCGACGCTTCGCACCGAAGCACACTGCGACCAACGCTGTCGTGCAGCCACTCGCTAACCGGATCTCTGACATGGAGCAGCGTTTTCCTGGTGTAGAGGACGCCCTGGCAGAGTTGCGTGTCGGACGAGCCCAGACTGGCCAGCTGGATTCTCCCCCCACGGTTTACGATTTCGCCCGCCTCACTGACAGGTTGCAGGAGGTTGAGAAGGCGGCGGACCACACGCAGTCTGAGCTCCCCCAGGTCATTCGTGAGAGAGATACGGACAAGGTACGTGTCGAGGAGCACCTCGCACGTCTGGACAGTGAGTTAGAGGCGCACAACGCCCGTCTCCGAGCCTACGAGCAACGACTTGACCGGCATTCACAACGCTCTCGGGATTCTGATGAGTACACACGCGAAAAGGTGGACCAGATACATGAAGATATGACGAGCTGGACAAATCAGCTGATTGACCACACCAACGACACCATACTTCACCTTCAACCTGCAACCGACCTGCACAGGCCGACGGCAGCGTCCGCAGAAGCACCACACGCTTCTGCAGGACAACAACGACGTACGTCACCAGGAGCAGCCTCCGCGGCAGCTTCAGCACAGACACGCCACGTGTCTCCTGTGCGCACAGAACCAACTACCGATGGTGTACCGATACCTTCACAACCATTGTCTGCGGTTTCGGTCAATACTACTACTCCTATCAAGGAGTCAGACACCGTCCGAGTCCCTGTCTTGCCTAAGATCACGCAGCTGCTTGAGCGGCAGCAAAAGGTACGGAAGAATTTTGGAGCCGCCGCAGGGCGACCATCCAAAGCATATGCCTTCCTATCCGTGGCTGAACAGCCCGAATGTACCTTCGAGGACTTACAAGACAGTGGAGACTTCGAGAGCATCGATTGCAAACTCGCTACTGCTCTCACCGACATCTTATCCTCAGACTTGCGTTACCAGATCAGGCTCATCGAAACCAGAGAGCACAAAGCAGGACGCATGCTCAAAGGACGCCAAATCTACTGGCACATCCTTCAGTCCTACAAAGCGACAGAGGTTGATGACGACCTGCATGACTTCGAGCGCCTCAAAGAACTGAGGATGAGAGATGAAGATTTGCAACGTTCCATTACTGATTGGGACGCTTTACTGTTGGAGTGCCGAGAGGCACCCGACCCAAAGATTTTGGAATCTCTGTTTCGCACACAGATTCGCCGACATGCCTGGGTGAAACAAGATATGTACGAATACCAGCGCATGAAGACCAGCGACCCGAATCGTACCTATGATTGGCTCCGACAGTGCGTCCTGGACGTACTGGAGCTTAAACAACTGGAAAAGAATCCAGATAAGTTACGGTACGAACACGAGACTCGTTCCCAAGTACATGTATGCGCCGCCTGGAAGAAAGGCAATTGTCGCAATGGTGAGCGATGCAAGGCTTTGCATACCTTCTCCAGGGATTGGAAGAGCAGCAGATCTTCCAGAGCATCGACCGCTGGCGGCAACTCTCGCCGCAGCGTTTCAGCCCCTGCGAATCCCAAGAAGCCAGCATCGAAGCCATTTTGCTTCGAGTTCGCCAAGCGCAACACCTGCGCCAGAGGCGACAAGTGCAACTTCCCACACATGGCGCAGCGCAGAGACTTCGCACAGAACAAGTGCACCAAAGGCGACACATGCAAATACGCTCACCTCGCACCTGGTGCGAAGACACCCGAGCGAAGCCCGAGTCGCCCACGGACCCCCAGTCAGGACAGTCGCGGCCGACCGCCGCCCCGCGGATCGGGGAGCCAACGCTCTCCACAACGCGGGGGGTTCCGCCACGCAAAAGACCCACACCAAAGACGTGACCACCGACGCCAAATACGATCGCTCTCGATCATCCTCCAGAAGGTCTCCCGACTC